GTGCATGTAAGTAAGCTCGTAATGTTTCCAAATTTTGATCATTTTTTGTAAAAGTAAGCTAAGTTTAGCTTTTTTCTACTTTTATGGGCAAATAGTAGCCCCGCCCACCCACCCCTTCATCATTCCAGTAACTACTCTCTATCTTAGCAAGTTTTACTCCCGCCCACCTGCCCATTATTTTCTTAGAGGATACGTCATTTACCAAACTCAGTCTTATCTTATCAAGTACCAGCCCCACCCACCCGCCCTCTATTTTCTTAGAAGGTAGATTATTTGCCACAATCAGTCTTATTTTAGCGAATACTAACGCCCCCCACCCACCCTTTATTTTTTTAAAGAGTATGTCATTTACCAAAATCAGTCTTACGTTAACAAGTACTAGCTCCGCCTCCCCTCTGCCCTCTATTTTCTTGGAGGGTATGTAATTTACCACAATCAGTCTTATCTTAGCAAGTACTAGCTAAGATAAAACTGATTTTGGCAAATGACATACCCTCTAAGAAAAGAGAGGGTGGGTGGGCGGGGCTAGCAGCTGCTAAGATAAGACTGAATTTGGCAAATGAGATACCTTCTAAGAAAAGAGAGGGCGGGTGGGCGGGGCTAATACCAGCTAAGATAACACTCACTTTGACAAATGACATAGCATCTAAGAAAAGAGAGGGTGGGTGGGCGGGGCTAGTAACTGCTAAAATAAGACCGATTTTGGCAAATGACGTATCCTCTAATACAGTGGTTCGCAAACTGGGTGCCGCGGCACACTAGGGTGCCGCGGATCCCCCAAGAGGGTGTCGCGAAAATTTTATAATGATTTTAATAAATATAAGCACAGAACCAACTTTAAAAAATAATAATTGATGATCTGATTTTATTAATATGGTACAACTGTTCAGTAATGTGTTCTGAACATGTTAATTTTCTTCATACTGAAGTAAGATGGCTATCTAAAGGCCGTGTTCTTTCCCAATTTTGGGAATTAAGAAAACAGATATAAACGTTTTTTGAATCAGAAAATATTGAACAATTTTTTGACCTATTAAACTAATATTTTTTAACACTTAAATAAAATATGTACATTCAAGTATGCAAGGTAGAAATGAAAATATTTTAACCTCCAGTGAAAAAATTTTGGCATTAAAAGACAAGCTTAAATTATGGAAAACAAATATTTATAAAGCAATCTTAACATCAATTACATATTATACAAACATGTGCTAAAGTGTTTTTAATAAATTAGTTACAATTAAAACTGTTCTTGGCGGGGTGCCGCCAAATTTTGTTTAAAATTTTAGGGTGTCATCAATAATAAAAGTTTGCGAACCACTGCTCTAATAAAACAGAGGGTGGTGGGCGGGGCGAGTACCTGCTAAGATAAGACTCATTTTGACAAATGAGATATGACTTAAATGACGTATCCTAAAAAATTAAATTATTATAAGGAAAGACACTAGAGGCTCCAAAGCACTTTCAAATTCTTCCCAAACGGGAATACCTAGAACCTCAAGATTGGTTTAAGAAAAATGGGGTCCTAGAATTGACTCAAAAACAGGTCAGCTCAGAACTTCCCAAAAATAGAATACCAACCAAAATTCAAAATTCTTTTAAACAATTTACAAAAAAAATCTCCATTGCGAATTTTATTGAGCTTATCCTCGATAAGAAAAACAACTTGAAAGTGTTTATGTTTATACATCGGAAGAATGTCACGTAGGAATTTGAATGAGTTCGTCCCCTCAAAACAGAAGATCACAACTATTAAGTAGTAAGCTACGATCGACAAAATGTTCTGAATATCATTATTATAATTCTTATTAAATAAAGACGTTTGTATTTTCACATTTTCGGGAAAATTGGGTGATTCGTTCTTAATTTGATCAATAAAAAATATGAATGGAATGCTGAATCACAAGTAAAAACTCATCATAGTTTGCACATTTTGGATAAAATTTATTCGGCAAAATGTCGAGCTAACGTCATCAATTTTTTGGGGAAAAAAAGAGATTTTTTTGATTAACAATTTACCATGCTTACAATGACCATGATCTTGTGATAACCCAATCTTCCCGCCTTAAAATTTGACCTTGAAACAGTTTGAAAGGCCCGCGAAAAATTCGAAAATTCAAAGTTTGGCCTTGGCTGTGATCGTCTAACAAATGAGAACCTACGTTGTGTGTTTTTTTTTTGTGGTTTTGAAAAATGGCGGGAAGAAGTTCTTTCATACAAGTGCATACACTGTCGAGAGCGCAAGAAATAATAGACAAAATTAGGAGCCTTCCTAAGGAGGAAAAAGAAACGAAGAACGACAGACGCTCGATTTGCCCTTCTGGCGAGTCCGCAGGGCCAAGGCATCATCGGTCTTCATTCCCCAAAACCCCCTGGGGTTTTATTCACCGACATATTACATGTCAAACACCCTAAGATATGTGAAAGAAAAACACTCGCGAATTGACAGACATACACATATGAAAACCGAACGAACACAAGACCTACACATATGTAAATTGGATGGCAGAACCCGAATCATTATGAGAGTGTGGCGATCGAACAAAACATAGAACAAAATATAGCAATTTCATTTACGAGCACAGCAAAATACCCAGAGGGGGCGTTGTAGCGCAAGTAGAGGTTGGGACTCCTGATCGTCACTGTTCTCCCTCACGACGGTGATTCTATCTACACCAACGCCTGCTCACACGCATCTCTCCATTACGAACGTGCCCTGCGAAACGAGGCGGTTACGATCGCAGATCCGTAGTGGGGTCTCGACTATTGGGCCAAGTCGACAGCGTTAAAGACCCGCGATCGCCCCCTGAAGCTATACAACACCCGCGGGCTTGTGCAGGTGACGCGATTAATCCCGTCAGTTTGAGAAGGAGTCGCGCGCCCCAAGTACACTACGAGTTATGTGTTATTTACCTTAATTTCATTTAAATGTTCAATCTCTATGACTCTGGTATTAAATGACAACCGAACAAGTGTTAAAGTTTCAACAAAGAGCAATAAACAACATTTAAATTCGCCATACACTCTTACGGAAATTCAGTCAACAAATAATTCTTAATTGAGATTAAATTTGGACATCAGATAATTTATATGAGAGAAACATTCATCAACAAAACATTTACATGATCAAAACTTAGCAAAGATTTATAAAACAAAGATCTGGTGTGAAATAAACTTGTGCAAATAAAATATCATGTTAGGTCAAAACTGTAGAGCATGGAAATTTACGTTCAATTCAAATGATACAGCAAAGAAAATTACTGAAGCTAAAATTGTGAGACAAAGACAAATTGCATGAGGTGAAAGATTGTAAAGTTAACAGATTTACATGTGATTAATATTAATTCGTGTCCAGTCAAGTTATTGGTTAAAATTCAAACGTGAAATTATTTAGCTGCATTGTGGGCCATTATTACACATACATTTCCCCAAACAAAACACATAAATAAACATGGCAGACAATCTGCAGTTGCAAAATGGCGTTGGACGAATTCGTCATTCCAAATAATAGGCGTCGAAAATATGCGATGCAAAAATACGATGAATCCTGTGGCGTTGTATAAACGATGTGCTAAATCCAAAGAATAGAAGGCACGTCCCCCCATGACCCACAATGTTGTTATTTTGTTCAATAGATTCAGTTAAAACATGTGCTCGATTAAAAGAAACAAATGGACGCTTCAAAATGGCCGCTGCCTGAACAAAGAACGGTGAGAATAACAACTCGTTTGCCGCCATCCAAAATACAGATTTCACAAATATAGCTAAATAAAGCATGGCCCGAACTAGAAATCACTTCCTGTAAAGCCCTACTGCGATGGATTTTAAATGAAAGATAAAAAAACGAGATTAGTGGAAAAAGGCGCACGCGTCGAAGTGTCACGAGGTCAGAAGCATCGTCGGGGCTTGAAACTCGCGGCGAAACAGGTGTTCAAAACATACCTCTCCAAAGATGCGAAGATTTCGACACGGCTTACCGCCAACAGGAACACAAAAACCTCGTCGTAAGAACGATGCGAAATCAGGAACACCCAATGGCTCAACGGGGGCTGCCACGTTTTCCAATGGAACAGATCAACACTGGAAAAACAAAACACAACAGCAAAAGGCACAGAATAATTCACAATTAAAAATACAACCTGTTGCTCGAAGCGCTCGAAAAGAAGTCGACCGTTCTCTCCAAGCGATCAAAAGGAAGTGACTCATTTTTCAAGACAATACCACCTTCGCTTTACGCACGTCTGTTTCTTTGGGGTGGTTGGTTGCCAACCTCTCCTTCTTCTCACTAACCGTTTCTTGTGCGCGCGGAATTCGTTTGAAATTTAAAAATTCGAATTGGATCCTTACAATCTATTCAATAAATTAAATTGACTGATTCATTAATTTTTTAGTCACCCTGTAAAAGCAGATCTAAAAATTATGAATGCAATGAAAAATACAAGTACAGACTGATCATAGTTCTCACATTTAAGATAGGATTTGTTCAGCAAAATTTTGAGGTGACGTCATCATTTTTTTAGGGGGGATGAACAAATACATTTTGATCAAAAGTTTACCATATCTGTGATAACTTTAAAACATGTAGGATTTCAAAGCATTCGGTTTTGCAGATTCAAAATTAAATTGCATAATTTTGATTTTTTTTTTCCAAAAATCTGGAGGTTTCGTTTATTTTATACAATTTAAAACCCATTAACTTTAACTTTAATTAATTTCCACCATTTATATGGGCATATGATTGCAATTGGTCGCAAAAAATTCCCATTTCTGTAGAAAAATATATATACCGCGTGATCAGAAATGACTGAGTCTGTGGCAATCCTCGATTTTTTGTTGAAATTGGTATCATGTTTTCAATAATTTCCTGTTGTCAGCTGTCAAGATTGTCAGATTGTTGACATTTTTTAATAATGTGCAAAATGTGTCCAAAATATAACCAAAATTCTGTCACACACAATACCAACATAAACATAAGAAATTCCTATTATTTTTATTTTTAGCTTAGCTTCAAATCTGATGTGTGGTCCCTGGGATGTATTTTATATCAGCTGGTATATAGACGAACTCCTTTCCAACACATCACGCAAGTCTACGCCAAATTAGCGACAATTATAGATCCCAATCACAAAATCGAGTACCCCGACGCGAACTGGGTGCCGGAAAAGCTCATCACCACGATCAAGGCATGTCTCCAAGTGAACATGAAGCTGAGGCCTTCCATAGAAAACCTAATACAAGAATACGAAAACATGTTCCACAGTTTAGTCTGAACTGATATTCTTTATTTTTTCATATATTATTTGTACAGGTATATTATTAAAAAATGTAAAATAAAAAACCGCTTTATTGAAAATTGTTTTAGTGAAACAGCTCTCGACTCAGGAATAAATAAATTCTACGCCATACTCTCACTCTATAATATTTTTTTTAAAGCATAACATATAATTCAGAATTAATTAAAACCAACTTACAGTACTGCGATATAAAAACATTTAAATCTATTCTACAAAAATTTACAAGGTATTTCCATATCTAAGTCTACTACGTTTCCGTATAGGGAGATTTTTATCCGGATCCGTCCTATTCAAGCCACTCCCCCCGTTCCTCAAGATTTTCACTACCGCAACTTCACCTACTTTGACTTCGTTCTCGTTCTGCTTCGGATTAAATAAAGTGGCAGTATTTTTCACGTGACTTTTAACTTCAACCTTCGCCGTGCTCCTCCTCTTCGACTTCCTCTTTTTCCTTTTACTCTTATTATTTTTCGCTTCTATCGTACTCGACTCCGTACTCTCGTCCTGCGAACTCTCCTCCTTGGCTTTCTTTAGCGGCGTCGACGTCATGCAACCGTTCAACCTCAAACTTAAACTCATCGAGTCTAGGACATCGTCCACGTCGGGTAGCTTCGCGTCTTCTTCGGGAGTAATCGTTTTGACGGTTTCTGCGCCTGTGCCATCGTTGCTTTTAGGAACTTCGCAGGTCTGCGTCGTGGTAGTTTCTTTCTTCTAGAAAACACAAATAATAAACAAAACGGACGGAATTTACCTTTATTAGAGCTTACCGGGTCGTGTTCGAAGCAAACGAAGCCCAATTGTTTGTCGTATCTGATGGTGCCTTGGGAATGCGGAGGGCAAAACGAGTTTACGCACTTAACGCAACATCTGATGGTGCGTTTCGAGCAGAAGTTACAATTGTGCCATTGACAGACCCACTTTCCGCCTAAATTTAAAAAGAAATCAAACCGTCAAATAAAAAAATTATTTTCTTACCTTCAGGCCACGTCGTCAGTCCTACACACCCTAAATGATAATACTTTGTACAAATCTTATTATTACAAGCACCAACATCTCCCACTTTTCCGCAGACGAAGCACGGATTCTCATTATCGACGACCTCCGGTGGTGGCGCGACCTTCTTTTTCGGCTTGGTCGATTTCTTCCGTCCATCCTGTAACCGCAATCGTTACTTAATCACCCCTTCCACTTTCCCCCACCCTCACTTACCAACTTAACCTTGACGCCTATGAAGCCGCTACAATTCGGCGCTCCGCACTTACAGATCTTCTTCTCTTTCCCTATACACTCCAAGTTATAATTAAATGTAAGTTCAGTATCTGCAGGTATATCACACTTTGCGAAAAGACCGACTCTCGTGTCACCATTCACCGTCCACTTCTGGGTTTCGCAGTTGGGTTGGCAGGAATGGTTCATGAACCTTGCGACGTTTCCCTTAGGGCCGGCATCCAGAGTTCTATCCTTGTCGATGGTTAAGAAGTAGTAGTTCTCTTCTTTCTGTTCGTGCATTTTTTGGATGCGTCTCTGGTATTCTTGTTCGTCGATGATTTCGCCAACGTATTCGATCACGAATTGGCCCTTGCGGACCGGAGCTAGGGTTTTGAGGCCCCAACCGCGGACTTGGGTGCGATGGGGCACCAGAGGGGGGTACTCGCGCTTTTCGAAACATTGGTTATTGCAGCGCTCGCCGGCCGGGCAGACCTCGGGGTTGCATTCGGTCAGGAGTAACCTGAAATTAGCAGTCTCATCACATATTACCCATTCCACGAATTTTCTGAATTCATTAATGTATTACACTTTAATCACCCATACCTCCCCACTTCGCATTCGAGCGCATTTTCTTACGAAAACACACTTGTTTATATTTTATCTGGAGTGACTATGACAGAAAACGGAAATTTCTCCAAGAATATGAATGCGTTGATAAAAGTAGACAACATAAAAAAAATTTCATGCGACATTCGAACGTAAACTATTTTTGCCGTACAATTTCGATTTTACTGCGAAAATTTGGATGCCTTGGGAAAAATCTGAAGACAGATTCATAAAAAACAAGTACAGGTTGTATGTTATTTTATAAAATTTAACCCTACTCAGTATGAAAAATTTTGAAGAGTTGTCATCACGTTGTTGGTGGGGATGGTTTTGGTTAGAGTTTTACCACTACATGATATTCTTAATATACATACACAATTTGACAACAATCAGTCCAGTAGTTTCGTAGATTAACTGTCTTATAAAAATCCGAACAGACAGACGGAATCAAAAATTTTAAACTTCAAACAACTGGAAAAAAGAAAAATCGAGGAATTGAACAATGGAGAAATCGAAAATTTAAAAAACTGAACAACTGAAAAATTGAAAAATCCAAAAATTTTAAAATTCGGAAAAGTGAAAAAGTAAAAAATCAAAAAATTGTAACGAAAAATTGACGAATCAAAATACTGAAAAATCCCAAAAGTGAATTATCGAAAAATTGGAAAATCTAGAAATCGAAAAGTCGAAAAATCGTGAAGTCAAAAAATCGAAAAACCGAAAATTTAATAAATTAACGAACTGCAAAAACTGAAAAATGGAGAAATCGAGAAATGGGAAAATCAAAAAATCGATTAATCGAGAAATCGAAAAGTCGAAAATTTAGAAATTCCAAAAATTGAAGAACAGAAAAATCGAAGAATTGAAAAATAATCATGTCGAAAAATCGAAAAACTGAAGATTTAAAAAATTAAAAAATCGAAACATTGAAGAACTGCAAAAACTGAAAAATGGAGAAAGCTAGGACTTGTAAAATCGAGAAATGGAAAAATTAAAAAATCAAAAATTCGATTAATAGAGAAATCGAAAAGTCGAAAATTTAGTAATGCCTAAAATGTAAAAATGAGAAGAATTGAAAAATCGAAAAATCGATTAATCAAAAAATCGAAAAATAGAAATTTTAAGAACGGCAAAAATTTAAACAGAAAAATCGAACTGGAAAATTGAGAAATCAAAACAAAAAATCGAAAAAACATCAAAAAAAGGAAAATTGAAAAAACATCAAAAAAAGGAAAATTGAAAAATCGAACATTTTTAAAATCGAAAAAAGTAAAAACCCGAAATATCGAAAAATTAAGAAAAAGAAAAGTCGAAAAATCGAAAATTAAAAAAATTGAAAAATCAAAAACCTAAAAATTCGAAAAATTGAAGTATTGAAAAACTAAAAAATCTAGAAGTCAAAAATAGAGAAATAGGAAAATCAAAAAATTTAAAAATCGAAAATTTGAGAATTCGAGAATTCCAAAAGTTGAAAGATCAAAAACCTGAAAAAATGAAAAATTGAAAAACCGAAAAAACGAGAAATCGAAAAGTTGGAAAATCGAAAAACTGAAAATTTAAAAAACGCCAAAAATTAAAACACAGAAATCGAAGAATTGGAAAGTCTAAAATTTAAAAACGCCAAAAATTTAAACAGAAATCGGAGAATCGGAAAATCTAAAATTTAAAAAACCGAAAAATAAAACAAAAAATTGAAACCTCGAGATGTCGAAACATACAAAAATCGAAAAATTGATTAACCAAAAAATAGAAATTTTAAGAACGGCAAAAATTGAAACAGAAAAATCGAACAACTGAAAAACTGAGAAATCAAAACAAAAATATTTAAAAATCGAAAAAAACATCAAAAAAAGAAAAATTGAAAAATCGAACATTTTTAAAATCGAAAAACTTGAAAGTAAAAATCCGAAAAATCGGAACGAAATATCGAAAAATTAAGAAATAGAAGAGTCGAAAATTTAAAAAATTGAAAAATCAAAAACCTAAAAATTCGTAAAATTGAAGAATTGAAAAACTGAAAAATCTAGAAGTCAAAAAATTGAGAAATAGGAAAATCAAAAAATTTAAAAATCGAAAATTTCAGAATTCGAAAATTCTAAAAGATAAAAAAGATCAAAAACCTGAAAAACTGAAAAATTGAAAAACGGAAAAAACGAGAAATCGAAGCCTTGAAAAATCGAAAAACTGAAAATTCAAAAACGCCAAAAATTTAAACAGAGAAATCGAAGAATTGGAAAATCTAAAATTTAAAAACACCAAAAATTTAAACAAATCGGAGAATTGGAAAATCTAAAATTTAAAAAACCGAAAAATAAAACAAAAAATTGAAAAATCGAGAAATCAAAACATACAAAAATCGAGAAACGGAAACATCAAAAAATCGAAAAATTGAAAAATCTGAACTTTAAAAATCGAAAAAAAAATTGAAGAAATAGAAAACCGAAAAATATTCATTACACATATTGAAAAAATCCTAAACTGAAATATCGAAAAATTGAAAAATCGAGAAATCGAGAAGTCGAAAAACCGAAAATAAAAAAAAAATTAAAATCGAAAAATCGAGAAGTCAAAAAACAGAAATAGATTAATCGAGAAATCGAAAATTTGGAAACGTCGAAAACTGAAAAATTGTAAAGCTGAAATATACGATTTGAAAAATCGAGAAAATGAACAAGCAAAAAATTGAAAAATCTCAAAAATGAAATATCGAAAAATTGAAAAATCGAAGAAAAACTGAAGAATGGAAACACTGAAAAACCTCAAATCTGAAACATCGAAAACTTGAGACGTCGGAAAATCGAAAATTTAAAACATCGAAAAATTGAAAAATCAAAAACCTGAAAAATCGCAAACGCGCAAATTTTGATGAACGATTTACCATTCTTCTAATAACATTAATTTTTTTTTTCAACGTTAAACTGTAAAATTTTGCAATAAAATTTTGAATTTTTTCCCCAAAAATGTCTCTACGGTAAAAACTTAACGCGGATTCATAAACCACAAGTGTAGGAACATTTTAACTTATAAAATTTAAATAATACGTATTTACTAAAATATAAATTTTGGGGATTATTAGCCAAATTTTGGTTAACGTTTACCCATTCACACGATATTCCTGATAAACTGTCTAATTAAAATCCGGACAGACTGTAGACAGTCTGACGGAAACGGAAGACTAATTTTTTCATACTGTCGTGGTCATGAAACGTCGAAAAAACATTAAAGCACCAGTCGTTCGATGGGCTCGATTACAATACTTCCTTAGCTTCGGCTCAGAAAGTGAAAATTAAAAACAAGTATGTAATTATTATTTTATAACATCAAAAATATGAAAAAATCTTGTTTTTTATGTTGTCGCATATGGGTAGTTTGAAATTAGGGACTTTTTCATTTTGTTTTGTTATATTTAAAAACAGAGTCGTAAAGTTCATGGTTTTAAAACATTTCATGGAAGATCCCTGACATAAATTTAATATGCTGCACTTTTCTACTTATTAATGTTCATAAGGATGGCACTGGATAGTTAAATTTTAAAAGAATTTCATAATAAATAAGATTTTTTAAGTTAGACATTTGAAGCTCACTTCTTGTTTAAGGATTTCTTGTTCCAGATTTTCTTGTTTAAGGACTTTTTGTTTAAAATGGTGTTTAAGTGTCTCAACAATTTCTTCTGGAGTTTACACAATGATGGGGTTTTTATTTTTAAAATTGTTCGAAAAAACATGTACAAGATTAAAAGTTAATTTGATAATTATTTGTTCTCCCATGGCTAAAATAACGTTTTCGTCAAATTTGAAATATTTTTGAGGTCAATTGCTTCAACGTCGAAAATGAACAATACTCATATCAAGGCACTCTAGCCCGATGGACTCGATTACAATTCATCCTTAGCTACGCTAGGGCAGTAAAAACTGGTGCCCGAGTATTTCGCCCTTGGGCCACGTCCATTTCATTTATTTCAATTTTCTGTACTAACCACAATTTAATTTTTTTATTCAGACCACCCCTGATTTTTCAAGCACTCACCTATTTAGACAATCGCTGTCTGGCCCACACGGGTGCGGCTGATTCGGGTCGCACTCGCAAGATGTCGTGTTGCTCGTATTACCATCAAATAACCTAACATTGCCCACGGGTTTATTAACCTTAATCCTGATGTATGGGGGTGGTTTCAAACCACTACTCTTCTCAGCCACTTTACTTAGTTTAAACTCTACAAAAGTGGGTTGTACTTAATGTTAGACTCCCACTCCATCAACTCACGCTTTTTCAACTGATGCGCCGCCGCCGCCTCCTCTATCGCCTTAACAAACGCACTATCCACCCTCTTCCTGATCGAGTTCGAGTGCCCCTTATCCCCCTCTTGAAACAGAAACGTTCTACCCCTCCCCACCCAATAGTGGTCATACGTACCGTAAAACTTCACCACAAACTCGCCCCTATTGTGCGTAATATTCTTAACGTTATCCGGAACCTCATTAGGAAAGAGAATCAAAGCAGGCCACCACCTGAAAGAGACAATATACAGGGTGTCCGATGAAACGCAACCCTCACTCACCTGAAAGTCCCCAACTTTACCCAAACGATCTCATCGTACAAAGGCAACCGCCCCGACTGACAATCCTCACAAAAGAAAGTGTCATCTTCGTTCAAATCCCCCGGAAGACACTCAACGTGGACGCTAGTCGGACACGTCTCGCAACAAATCAAGTCGCCACCTTTCGAACAAATGAAACACCAATTGGTATTGATGGTCTGTTGCATCCGTTTTTTGTGGCTCGACTTGCTGAAGTGCCTCGGACAGACGATCTGAGAAGTGCTCAAAATATGACTACCTGCAGGCACGCAGTAGTTGCTCGAGTGGTAGGTGGCCGGACACCTGACACACTTGACGACTTTGTCGCTCGGACAGCGCGAGTTTGACGCTCGGGGATCGTCGGAAATGCACGTGTGGCACACGTGGCGTGGACACACGAACGTGTCATAAGTGGCGTCGGATTTCGTGTCTTTTGTGTTTTTGATGAGGGACCATTGGGTCTGGGGCCACATTTTCAGGCACTCTGGATGGTAGTACTTTCCGCATTGGTGGATCGAACATTTCTGGCGGAATTTTGAGCCGGCTTTGGATTCTTCGTTTTGGCAGACCAAACAGTGAGGGGCCTCTTCGGTGGTGCACCAATAGCATCTCGAGTTTTGGAGATTCTCTCTCACTATTTCGCTGATGTCTTTCTCTTTGGGTTTCTCGTTTGTGACGCAGATGTAGCTGATGTTGTCGGCGGTTACGTGTTTGATTATGGGGATTTCTTTTTTTGAGGGTTTGTTGGTGACGGTGAGGGAGAGTTTTGATTGGTTTTTGTATTTTTCGAAGGATTCGTTGACCACGAATTCTTCGCTGCTGGAGTCGGTGGATTCGGCGTAAACTGACTGGTAGTCGAATTTTTTCATGATTTCTTTCATGCGGAAGTCGATTTTTTCGGCTAAAGTCATGTCTTTGAAGTTGGGGGAGTCGCTGATGCTCGGAATGGGTTTCTTTGAGTCGACGGAGATGATTTCGACGTTGTTTTTTTCTTTATCTAAACAAAAATGGCAATTGGCAAGATTATTTTGGGGAAAAACAAAAGGAACAATATTTACACACAAACAAGCGACTTATACGACCCATGCAACAGGTTGATCGATTTTAAAATTTCAAAATATTGGAGGGAATGATCAGACAAATTTTGGTTAGCGTTTTACCATCTGCACGATAATCTCCAACTAAAATTTCACAACAATCAGTCCAATAGTTCCGCGATTCTGTCTAATAAAACCACCAAGAGGCTTTTTGAAAAATGAAAAGAATAAAAAAAGCGAACTATCGATAAATCAAGAAATTGGGAAATCGAAAAATCAAAAATTTTAAAAATCAAAAAACTGAAATCTAAAAATTCGAAAAATTGAAAAATCGAGCAATCGAAACATCAAAAAAAACGAAAAATCTAAAATTCAAAATTTGGAAAATTAAAATGTTGAACAATTGAAAAATCGAGAGATCTGAAAATCAAAGTCGAAAAATTTAAAAAATCGTAAAACCCAGATGTCAAAAAATATCAAAAAATTGTAAAATCCAAAAATTGAAAAATGTAAAATTTAAAAACTCGAAAAATTGGAAAATATGGAAGTATTGAAGAACTGAAAAATCGAAAAATCTCTAAAAAATTGAAAAATTGAAACATCGAAAGATCGAGAAATCGAAAAGTGGAGAAGTCGAAAAACCGAAAAATTGAAAACTTTAGAATTAAAAAAACTGAAAAACTGAAAATTTTCAAATTATAAAAATTAAAAAACTGAAAAATTTAAAATTACAAAAAATCGAAAAATCCAGAAACTGGACAATGTCGGTAAATCAAGAAATCGAAAAATTGAAAAATCGAAAACTTGAAGAATCAAATCAAAAATTTTAAAATCAAAACATTGAAAAAACGAAAAATCTAAGTCGAAAAGTCGAAAAATCGAAAAAAATCAATTCGAAAAACTGAAAAATAGAAACATCCAAAAATTTTAAATTCGAAAAATTGAAAAATCGAAAAAGTAAAATATCGAAAAATCGAAGAATCCACAAATTGAAAAATCCCAAAACTGAAACATCAAAAATTGATAAAAATCGAAAAACTAAAACATCGAGAAACCGAAAAATCGAAACATTGAAAAATTAAAAGCCTAAAAAACTGAAGAATTGAAAAACTGAAAAATCGAAAAATCGAGATATGAGAAAATCAAAAATCGAAAAGTCGTAACGTCGAAAAATCTAGAAATCGATAAATCAAAAAATCAACTATTCGAGAACTTAAGAAGTCGAAAAATCGAAAATTTAGAAACGTCAAAAATTGAAAAATCAAAAAAATTTTAAAATAAAAAAATTGAAAAAGCGTAAAACTCAAACATCAGATAAATGAGAAATCGAAAAATGAAAACATCGAGACATTGAAAATTCTTAAGAATCGAGAAATTGCTAAACCCCAACACTGAGATATCGAAAAATTGAAAAATCGCGAAACTGGACAATCGAAAAATCGAAACGTCGAAATCTCGATAAATCAAGAAATTGAAAATCTAAAATTTAGAACTCGAAAAATTGAAAAATCGAATAAGTAAAAAATCGAGAAATTGAAAATCGAAAGGTCGAAAAATTGAAAACGTGAAAAATCCGAAAATTGAAATATCGAAAAGTCAAGGAATCCACAAATTGAAAAATCCCAAAACTGAAACATCAAAAATTGATAAAAATCGAAAAACTAAAACATCGAGAAACCGAAAAATCGAAACATTGAAAAATTAAAAGCCTAAAAAATTGAAGAATTGAAAAACTGAAAAGTCGAGAAATCGAGATATGAGAAAATCAAAAATCGAAAAGTCGTAACGTCGAAAAATCTGGAAATCGATAAATCAAAAAAATCGACGATTTGAGAACTTAAGAAGTCGAAAAATCGAAAATTTAGAAACGTCAAAAATTGAAAAATCAAAAAAATTTTAAAATAAAAAAATTGAAAAAGCGTAAAACTCAAACATCAGATAAATGAGAAATCGAAAACATCGAGAACTTGAAAATTCTTAAGAATCGAGAAAATAAAGAATCGAAAAATTGCAAAATCCCAACACTGAGATATCGAAAAATTGAAAAATCGAGAAACTGGACAGTCGAAAAATCGAAACGTCGAAATGTCGATAAATCAAGAAATTGAAAATCTAAAATTTAGAACTCGAAAAATTGAAAAATCGAATAAGTAAAAAATCCGAAAACTAGAATATCGAAAAATAGAGGAATCCACAAATAGAAAAATCCCAAAACTGAAACAACGCAAAATTGATAAAAATCAAAAAACTGAAAAATCGAAAAGTCCAAAAATCGAAACACTGAAAAAATAAATACCTGAAAAATTGAAGAATTGAAAAGTCGCCAAATCCAAATATGAGAAAATCAAAAATCAAGAAGTCGTAACGTCAAAAAATCAAAAAATCGATTAATCGAGACATTGAGAAATCGAAAAATCAAAAATTTAAAAACGTCAAAAATTAAAAAATCGAAAAATTTAAAAACCCAAAAAATGAAAAATCGTAAAACTGAAACATCAGATAATTAATAAATCGAATTATGAAAATATCGATCGAAAATTTGAAGAATCGAGAAATTAAAGAATCGAAAAATCACAAAATCCCAACACTGAGAGAAAATGAGAATTGAATAATTGAAAAATTGATGAATTGAAAGAAAAATCCAAAAAATGAAAAATCATAAAACTGAAACAACGGAAAATTGAGAAAACGAAAAATGGAAAACATGGAGAAATCGAAAATTTGGAGAATTAAGAAAATAAAGAATCGAAAAATTGCAAAATCCCAACACTGAGGTTACGAAAAATTGAAAAATCGAAAACCTGAAAAATCAAATAAAAAATTTTAAAAATCGTAAAATTGAAAAACAGAAAAATCTAATCCGAAAAAAGTTGAAAAATCGAAACATAAAAAAACTGAAAAATTTTAAATTTAAAAATTCGAAAAACTGAAAAATAGAGATATCTGAGAACTGAAAATGGAAAAATAAAAAATTTTAAAAACTAAAAAATTAAAATTTCGAAAATCTGAAGAATGGAGAAATTGAAACATCAAGAAGAGAAATCGAAAAGTCGAAAAATTGAAGTGAAAAATGCGAAAACTAAAATATCGAAAAATGGAAGAATCCACAAATTGAAAATCTCAAAATTGAAACATCGAAAAATTAATAAAAATCGAAAAACTGAAAAGTGAAAAAATCGAAACATTGAAAAATTAAAGAATTGTAAAACTGAAAAATCGAGAAAATGAAAATTAAAAAAATCGAAAAATGTAAAATTTGGAAACGTTGAAAATTTAAAGAATCGAAAAACTGAAAAACCGTAAAACTGAAATATCAGATAATTAAGAAATCGAAAAACGAAAACATCGAGAAATCGAAAATTTGAAGAATCGAGAAATTAAAGAATCGAAAAATTGCAAAATCCCAACATTGAAATATCGAAAAATTGAAAAACCGTAAAACTGAAATAACGGAAAATTGAGAAAACGAAAAATAGAAAACATCGAGAAAATAAAGAATCGAAAAATAGGAAAATCCCAACACTGAGATAACGAAAAATAGAAAAATCGAGAAACTGGACACTGGAAAGATTGAAATATCGAAATCTTGATAAACCAAGAAATCGAAAAATTGAAGAATCGAGAATCTAAGAAATCAAGTCAAAAATTTTTAAAATCGAAAAATCTAAGCCGAAGGGTCCAAAAATCGAAAGATCGAAACATCAAAAAAAAATTTAATTTAAAAAATTCTAAAAAGTGAAAAATCGAAAAATCTAAAACTTTAAAAACTGAAAAATTTAAATTTCAGAAAACTGGAGAATGGAGAATTGAAAAATCGAGAAATCGAAACATTAAAAAATCAGAAATTTGAAAAATCTAAAATTTAAAACTCGAAAAATTGAGAAATCGAAGAAGTAAAAAATCCAGAATTCAAAAAGTTGAAAACTTGAAGAAGTGAAAAATCTTCAAAATCGAAAAATCCACAAATTGAAAAATCCCAAAACTGAAACATGGAAAAATTGATAAAAATCGAAAAATTGAAAAACTAAAAAATCGAGAAATTGGAAAGTCGGGAAATCGAGATGTGAGAAAATCAAAAAATGGAAAAGTCGTCAAGTCGAAAAATTGAGAAGTCAAAAAATAATTAATCGAAAAAATGAGAAATCGAAAAATCGAAAATTTAAGAACGTCAAAAATTGAAAAATGGAAAAAAATTTAAATCGAGAAATCGAAATGGCGAAAAATTGAGAAATCGAAAAATGAAATAAATCGAGAAATCGAAAATTTGAAAAATACATAAATGAAAGAATCGAAAAATTGAGGAATTGAAGAATCCAAAAATTGAAAAATCGTAAAACTGAAACATCGAAAAATATAGAGAATTCGAAAATTTGAGGAATCGGTAGATTAAATAAAAATCGAAAAATTGCAAAATACCAACAGTGAGATATCGAAAAATTGAAAAACCAAGGAATTGGAAAATCGAAAAATTAAGAAATTGAATAATAATTGTGTCCACAATTTTGATTTTTTTTCAAAAATCTCATTGTCCAGGATAAAAATCCAACACGGATTCATAAACCACAAGTTCAGGACTATGTTGCTTTTTAATATTTAACTAGTTTGACAAAATTTCAAGATGACATCAATTCCTGGTGGATTATAAACGGATAAAGTTTGATTAATCATTTACCATGCTTGCGATAATCTTGAATCGTTTAGAAAATTTCAAAACATTCGATTTTGCAATTTCAAAATTAAATTGTAAAATGTTTGTACAACTTTGATCTTTTTTCCAAAAGTCTGGTTGCGTAAGGTAAAAACTCAAGACGGATTCGTAAACCACGGATAGAGGAATACGTTATTTACAAAATTTAAATAACATTAACTATTGTAAAATTTAGAAATAACGTCATTCTATTATTGGTGGGGATGAGCAGACAAATTTTACTTAGCGTTTTACCATCTACATATTTTTTCGTACTCTAAAAGTTTACTCGACGCCTTCATTATTGTCACGATGTAAGTAGCGAGTCCTTTGAGCGTCTGTAGTAAAATACACGTAAACAGAAAAATCAAGATTTTCGTATTCTACAACTTGTGAAATGGCAAAAAACACGAAATTAAGACAAACACTCATGAAAACGACAACCCAAACGTTTTAAAAATAATTACTTCAACATTCGGCACATTTAAAATAAAATAACAAATACTGTAACACTCTCCGTACAACACTAATTCGACTTCCAGTGCGTTACAGAAAACCATCTACCCACTTACTTTCACTTATCCCCTCCGCTTCCACTTTTTCCGCCTCTTCTTCTCCCTTCTTCTTATCCTCTTCATTCGCCTCCTTCGTCTCGTTCATTGCACACTTATAATGGTACACCCCATTACACGGCCCTTTACATTTAAACACATCGCCTCCTTCTTCGCAAACCTGACACACCTTCTCCTTCGGTATCCCCCTAAAAATATGATTACGTCTAAACAGTGCCGCCTGCGATTCCAACGAAGCCGGTACAGAACTATTGTCGCTAAACTTCGAATCGGTATCAGAATTCGAAACATCCCCAAGAACCAAATGACGCTTATTTTTCAACAACTTCGGCTCTTCCTCCTCCAGTGAATTTCGTTTCGGTTCCTTGGGAGTGTCTTTGCGGGGTACATCTTGAGGATCTTTACGAGGTACTTCTTGAGGCGATTCCTGTACCGCATTTTCCGTATTTTCGGGCTTTGTAAGGTAGCTGCGCAATTTTTTACGCGTTTTGAGTAAACCGTCCACGTCTTCCTTCTGTTGAGATCGTTTTCGTTCGACTGATTGGGTTGGTTCTTTCTTTGATATGTTTCTGCGCGGCGATTTTTGGTTTTCTTCAGTACGGGTGTCTCGGAGTTGGCTCAGTCGTGCGGATAGTGGGAGATTATCGTCGCTTGATTGGTCTTCGGGGGGTGTTTTCTTGCCCCTTCTTCGTTTCTCGGGAGATTGACTGGATTCTCTCGAAACAGTCTTCTTCGAGGATTTATCGTCACTTTCGTCGGATGATTTTCTTTCGGCTTTTTTCGCTTGTGGACTTTTGAAAGTTTTTTCGGATGCTTCCTGTGATTTTCGGGTAATTCTTTTTCGTCCTTCCGGACTCGTGAAAATCTCAACTTCCCCGATGGATTGAGACTTTTTCTGGATTTTCTTCGGCGATGCTTGAGTGACTTTCTCTTCGATTTTTTTTTCTTCAGGACTTAGGATTATCTTGATATTTTCTAGCGACGTTTTTTTGGTGATTTTTTTGCGTCTCTCTGGACTTGACCCAATGTCGGATAATTCCTCGCTCGACACCGACTTTTTGATGGCTTTCTTCCGCGGAGACTCTTTAGTTTTACTAGTTGTTGGTTCTTCGTTCTTCAAATTTTTATCAGATCCGTCTGGTGATTTTTTTGTTTTCTTCGTTTCTGCAAGTGTGTCTTTCTCTCCTTTAACTTTTCCGTCTCCGTGTGGCGTTTCTTGTTTTACTTCACTCTCGGATTTAATTTCTTGAACATCCTTCTTGAGTTTTTTAGTGACGACGTCGCCTTCAGACATCCTCGGTCTCTTTTTGGGTAGTTTACTCGGACTCATGTCACTTTCAGACTTAACACACTCTTCTAAAATTTCTTCTTTTATAGCAAATTCTTTCATTCTCTCTTGTTTCTCGCGTTTACTGGCAAATACCTCAAAGAAATAATTTAGGCGTTCGTGTAACGGTTTACATTTTAAGGATTCGGCTTCGTCAACGCCGCTTTGCCATTTTGGCAGTTTCGCTGGTTTTATCACGTACGATTCTTTAATATATGAAGCTTTAACTTTGTCCTGGACGAATAAAGAACAATGAGATACGTTATAAAAATTACAGGGGTGTAAATACCTCAGCTTTGAGAACTTTGGCTAGCGTGTCCAAGTCATTTCTTCCGTAAAATAGCATCACGTATGGTGCGCTCACCCAAGATCTTCTACCCTTATCACCGAAAAATCGTACGTGGTAGAGGGGTTGAAGTCGATTTATAACTAAGAAAAAAACAAGTGAAAATAATTGTACAACCTAATCTGGAGGGGTGTAAGCTGTATATGTTTGATCATTAATAAACATTAACATGAAACAGAAAAAAAAACACGCTGTTTCTAACTAGGAATAAAATTAACTACAATAGAGAAAATGTCATAATATTTTTAACGACGCGTTTTACTTTCGACAAATTGACACTAGATTTACCAGAATATTAAAAGCTGCTTACTGTTTCCTTCACTTTAATTCAGGTCACATGAATTACAGTTCGTCGTCTGAGAACTTGTTTGATCTACAGACCAGAGTGCACTCAGGCCAATGTCGACTCTACGCGTTCGTAAACGATTTGATTTATAAGCCATGACCCGTGAGCTGATACACATCCTAATCGGTTTCGACCATAATTTCTGCTGTTCCAATTTTCGAATTCTCAGTATTTCGAAATTTTAGTTTGGGGACTTTTCAGTTTACTCCTATTTATTATTCAATTTTTGGTTTCTACAATTTTTCAATTTCTCGGTTTTCAGTTTTTCTCTTTAATTTTACGATTTTTAAATATTTCGATTTTTCAATTTTTGGCTTTTATAAACTCTTTATTTTTCAATTTTTTAATTTCTCAGTTTTTGGACATTTCAGTTTTGGGATTTTTTTAGTTTACTTATTATTCAATTTTTCGATCTTACGATTTTTCAATTTTTCGATCTTACGATTTTTCAATTTTTCGATTTTTTTAATGTTTCTATATTTGGACTTCACTTTTTTGATTTTTCAATTTCTCAATTTTTCGATTCTTTAGATTCTCAGATTTTGGATATTTCAGTTTTTCGATTCGTCAATTTTTCTTTCATTTTTCTGTTTTGGGATTTTTCAATATTTCTGTTCCTCGACTTTTCCATTTTTGACTTCTGGATTTTTCGATGTGTCGACTTTTTTCTTTTTCGATTTTTAAATTTTAGATTTATCAATTTTTTGGTATTTTAATTTTTCAATATTTAAAATTTTAGATTTTTAGATTTCTCGATTTTTCATTTCAGTTCTTCGATATTTTCATTTTTCAAGTTTTCGAATTTTTCAAATGTTTCGATTTCTTAATCTTTTGATTTTTCGACCGGTTTTAGATTTTCTGTTTTTCAATTGTCACTTCGTCAAATTTTCGATTTTTTAATTTTTCAAATTTGACTTTTATAAACTCTCAATTTTTCGATTTTTCAATTAATCGATGTTTTGATTTCCTTATTTCTTGACCTTCGTGTGTTTCGATTTTCCTGTTCGATTCTTTAATTTTTTGATTTTTCAGGTTTTTGATTTTTCAATTTTTCGATTTGTTAAGGTTTCTATTTTTCGACTTCAGTTTTTTGATTTTTCGATTTTTCAGTTTTAGGATTTTTCAATATTTCTATTCTTCGGCTTTTCTATTTTTGGCTTCTGGGTTTTTCGATGTGTCTACCTTTTTACTTTTTCGATTTTTCAATTTTTGGATTTTTAAATTTTAGATTTTTCAATCTTTTGATATTTTAATTTTTCAGTATTTCTTAATCTTTCTATTTTTCGATTTCCTGGTTTTAGATGTTCTGTTTTTCAATTTTTCGATTTATTAATTTTTCATTCCCAATTTATCGAGATTTGATTGTTCAGGTTTTCGATTCATCATTTTTTTAATTTTTTATTTTGGCGTATTTCAGTTGACCAGTTTTTCCAGTTTTACATTTGTTCGTTTTTTGATTTTTCCGCTTTTCCAATTTTTCAACTTTTAACTTTTTGTTTGTCGATTTCTCAATTTTTCAATTTCTCGGTTTTCAGTTTTTCTCTTCAATTTTACGATTTTTAAATATTTCGATTTTTCAATTTTTGACTTTTATAAACTCTTTATTTGTCGATTCTTTAGTTGATTGATTTTTCAGGTTTTTTGGTTTTTCAATTTTTCTATTTTTTCAGGTTTCGATTTTTCAACTTCACTTCTTTGATTTTTCGATTTCTCAATTTTTCAATTTTTTAATTTCTCAGTTTTTAGACATTTCAGTTTTGGGATTTTTCAACTTCACTTCTTTGATTTTTCGATTTTTCAATTTTTCGATTTTTTAAGGTTTCGATGTTTCGACTTCACTTTTTTGAACTTTCGATTTCTCAATTTTTCGATTCTTTAGATTCTCAGATTTTGGATATTTCAGTTTTTCGATTCGTCAATTTTTCTTTCATTTTTCAGTTTTTCGATATTTCAGTTTTGGGATTTTTCAATATTTCTGTTCCTCGACTTTTCCATTTTTGACTTCTGAATTATTCGATGTGTCGACTTTTTACTTTTTCGATTTTTAAATTTTAGATTTGTCAATTTTTTGGTATTTTAATTTTTCAATATTTAAAATTTTAGATTTTTCGATTTCTCGATTTTTCATTTCAGCTCTTCCATATTTCAATTTTTCAAATGTTTCGATTTCTAAATCTTTCGAGTTTTAGATTTTAGGTTTTTCAATTTTTTTATATTTTAATTTTTCAATATTTAAAATTTTAGATTTTTCGATTTTTCGATTTTTTCAAGTTTTCGAATTTTTCAAATGTTTGGATTTCTTAATCTTTTGATTTTTCGACTTCCCGGTTTTAGATTTTCTGTTTTTCAATTGTCATTTTGTCAAATTTTCAATTGTCATTTTGTCAAATTTTCGATTTTTTAATTTTTCAAATTTGACTTTTATAAACTCTCAATTTTCCGATTTTTCAATTAATCAATGTTTTGATTTCCCCATTTCTTGACCTTCGTGTGTTTCGATTTTCCTGTTCTTCAAGTCTGTAATTTTTTTATTTTTCAGGTTTTTGATTTTTCAATTTTTCCATTTTTAAGGTTTCTATTTTCGACTTCACTTTTTTGATTTTTCGATTTTTCAGTTTTTAGATATTTCAGTTTTACGATTTTTCAATATTTCAATTCTTCGGCTTTTCTATTTTTGACTTCTGGGTTTTTCGATGTGTCTACCTTTTTACTTTTTCGATTGTTCAATTTTTGGATTTTTAAATTTTAGATTTTTCAATCTTTTGATATTTTAATTTTTAAGTATTTCTTAATCTTTCTATTTTTCGATTTCCTGGTTTTAGATGTTCTATTTTTCAATTTTTCGATTTGTTAATTTTTCATTCCCGATTTATCGAGATTTGATTGTTCAGGTTTTCGATTTATCATTTTTCAATTTTTTATTTCGGTCTATTTCGGTTTCCCAGTTTTTCCAGTTTTACATTTTTTTGTTTTTTCCGCTTTTCCAATTTTTAAACTTTTAACTTTTTATTTGTCGATTTCTCTATTTTTCGATTTTTCGACTTCATCACTTTTCGATTTCTCGTTCTTTGGATCTTTCAATCTCTCGATTTTTCAATTTTTCGAATTTTTAAGTTTTTTGATTTGTCGATTTATCGAGATTTGGATTTTTCGATATTTTGATTGTCAATTTCTCAATTTATAAATTGCTCAATTTTTCGATTTTGACCTATTTCGGTTTCTCAATTGTTCGACTTTTCGACTCCACGATTTCTCAGTTTTTCGATTTTCCAGTTTTTCGATGTTTCGATTTTTCAGTTATTCAATTCTTTAAATTTGGGAGTTTCGATTTCTCGATTTTCGTTATTCGATTTTTAAGTTTTACATTTTTTCGATTTTCAGTTCTTCGATATTTCAATTTTTCAAGTTTTCGAATTTTTCAAATGTTTCGATTTTTTAATCTTTTGATTTTTCGACTTCCTGGTTTTAGATTTTCTGTTTTTCAATTGTCATTTTGTCAAATTTTCGATTTTTTAATTTTTCAAATTTGACTTTTATAAACTCTCAATTTTTCGATTTTTCAATTAATCGATGTTTTGATTTCCCCATTTCTTGACCTTCGTGTGTTTCGATTTTCCTGTTCTTCAATTCTTTAATTTTTTGATTTTTCAGATTTTTGATTTTTCGATTTTTCAGTTTTTAGATATTTCAGTTTTAGGATTTTTCAATATTTCAATTCTTCGGCTTTTCTATTTTTGACTTCTGGGTTTTTCGATGTGTCTACCTTTTTACTTTTTCGATTTTTAAATTTTAGATTTCTCAATCTTTTGATATTTTAATTTTTCAGTATTTTTTAATCTTTCTATTTTTCGACTTCCTGGTTTTAGATGTTCTATTTTTCAATTTTTCGATTTGTTAATTTTTCATTCCCGATTTATCGAGATTTGATTGTTCAGGTTTTCGATTTATCATTTTTGTCCATTTTTTATTTTGGCATGTGTCGGTTTCCCAGTTTTACATTTTTTCGTTTTTTGATTTTTCCGCTTTTCCAATTTTTCAACTTTTAACTTTTTGTTTGTCGATTTCTCTATTTTTCGATTTTTCGACTTCATCACTTTTCGATTTCTCATTTTGTGGATCTTTCAATCTCTCGATTTTTCGAATTTTTAAGTTTTTTTATTTTTCGATTTATCGAGATTTGGATTTTTCGATATTTTGATTGTCAATTTCTCAATTTATAAATCGTTCAATTTTTAACTTTTCGATTTTTCGATTTTGACCTATTTCGGTTTCTCAATTGTTCGACTTTTCGACTCCACGATTTCTTGATCTTTTGATTTTTCGATTTCTCAGTTTCTCGATTTTCCAGTTTTCGATGTTTCGATTTTTCAGTTATCCGATTTTTTAAATTTTACATTTTTTCGATTTTCAGTTCTTCGATATTTCGATTTTTCAATGTTTCGGTTTTACAATTTTTTAAAATTCGATTTTTCGATTATTAGATTTCTCGATTTTTCGATTATTTTAATTGTTCATTTTTTTCTCACGTTAATATCATACAGTAAAAACATTAAAAAAAATCATACAAACCAGAAGTGTTTCCAAAACGTTTTGCTACGATTTCAACAATATTCTTAGTTTAAGACGTTTTGCTAGTATAAAACACAAATAAAGAATTAATTCTTAGTTAAACAAAATATGTAAAATCATCTAAATATGCACCAAAAATATTCACTTAGTCGTTATAAAAACCGACCAAACAACTATTTCCCACAGAAATTATAGTCTAAACCAACCAAATCGCTTCTGAACGCTTAGAGTCGACATTGGCCTGAGCGCGCTCTGGTCTTTAAATCAAACAAGTTCTCAGGAGACGAGTTGTAGTGAATCAAGTTTTTTTTATTGGCATTGACTATTTAAATTTGGCGCTTGCCTTTCCAATGTCAATAAGGGTGGTTTTGCAAAATCAGCCTCTATGTCGCATCTATATTAATCTATGACCTTGATCTTACCAAACTTTTTGTGGTCCCCTGAGGTTGGTTCTTGAGTGACCATGCAAGGCCAATACGGATGGGCACCGATTTTAGCCCATGCCAAGTCGCCCGGTTGAAACTCCACTAATTCTGTAATAAATTCAATTTTACTTAAATATCGTCTCAATGATCCGCCAATCACCTGTTTTGATGGACTTTAAATCAATCTCCTCTTTTATTTCCACCGTTTTTTCGTTACTTTTTTGGAATTTCAATGGCGTCAGTTTTTTCAGGTTATTTTTGCTGATTCCTGGAAGTGCTTCACTTACACTATTTACACTATTTGCAATTTTAGGAACAACTTTACATGACCTGTACTTCATTTTGCGCCTTTGTATTTTACGGAGTTTGGATTTTTCGCGCTTGATTTTGAACGGGTTAGGTACCAATTTTTTGTTCTGAATATATTTATGCATACAAGACAACGGATTGAGGATCACGCGGATCTGTGGACTACAAATAGTTTTAGACAGCTTAACTGGATTTACAACTTGGTTCTTAGTTCTTAATTTTTGTAATGTTGAAAATTGTAATTTATTTTTGGCAGTGGTATTTTCTACTGATGACGGTGCGGTGTCTTTTTTTGCTGCAACATTATTATTGTCAATACTGGACCTTAAAATTCTACTCGGGCAGCCCTCAATTTTAGGCTTCTTAACCAGAGATATTTTCTTATCTAATACTTTGGTCATATCTTTCTCATCTTTTTTAGCATCTTTCTCTTCTTTTTTAGCATCTTTGTCGACTTTTTCTGACTTAACTGAATCACTCTTTTTATCCGCGTTTTTGTTTTTAACCCTTTTCCCTAAATCAGGACTAATCAACCCCCTTTTGCTGCAGTTTGTGCTCTGACTCTCCTCACACTTCTCGCTGTCGACCTTTGCCTCCTTCACGCTCACCACTTTTGCGCCTTTCTCACATCCATCTTCGTTAACCGGCGTCGGAATCCGCGACTTTTCAAAATTTGTGTCGTACGAACACAGATCCAACATCCCCCCTCTATTAAAATGAATCTCATCCAACGTCGTAATCGGCTCACTCGCATACAATGGCACAGGATCAAACTCCCCGAAATCCCACGGATTCACCAAATTCACATCAATCTCGCACGTCATGTCCATGTCGATTTTCGTGTCCCTCTCCACCTTCACGGGCCCCCTCACCGGTATAATCGGCTCATCCGGCAACCCGAAACTCTCCACGATAAAACTCTCACTATCATGCACGTGCTTCCGCCTGTTCGAATACGTCTTCAACACGGTCTTCGGAGTGCTTTTCGCCTCACACACGTCCGCAACGACGACGGGTTTGCTCGAAATCAGCTTAAACACTTTAGTAACATCCACCGTGTTCGGCACGTCCACCTTCTCAGACATGCTCTTGAAGAACTTCCGCTCCTTGATGGTGTCGTCTAGGCCCCTTTGTAGGTTAGATTTGAAGTTGTTGGCCACTTTCATCCCCAGATCGTCGAGCTTGTTGAGCTCGTCCTTGACGTCAAACACCACTTCCCGCGGGATTATGGGCGACTTCGGGGGCGGCTTGAACCTGGGGGACTTGAGTGGAGAGGGACGCGGCGGCGGATTTTCGTCAATAACAACATCGTCGATATTGTAAAAATCGCGAGACACCTTGGGACGACGGGTCCTACCGTAGCGACTCTTGCCCCCAGGGCTGAGCATCTCGGGGCTGGATAGTGTTCCGGCGGCGGCGGGGGCAGCAGAGTGGGCTGCAGACGGATCCATAGCAAGGTGAAGCCAACAGCCTAGAGACAAAAGTGAGGTTAAGTTGAACCTGACGAGGACCCGTCAAAGCGATATTGATGTAGTTCGGAGGTAATTAACACAACGGTGACTTAAAAAAGGGGTTGTGAGAGCTTTTGGGGTTATAATCGCCGGTTTTCGAAGCACTCAAGTCGGGAGTTGTGTCGGGGAAAGTTGACCACTCGAACACTCACCATTTAAACGGGTTGATTAGGGAACTTCACTCATTTTTCAGGGATCATCAATTATTAAAAGTGACAAAAATACATTGATTTGAAGTGATTATTTTTTGATTTATGTCCAGGAATGCAATTAATGATGTTGCGGTATGAAGTTGGCCGCGGATTTCTTTTTGCACTTTCCCGCTTTTTGATACGGGACAAATAGAGTGAAGTTAGCCCGCACTGATAAATTAAAAAAATAAATTCAAATTTTGGAAAAAACGTGTGCCGTTTTTCCTAATTCGGTTTCAAAATAGTCGGATAGCGGATGTGTGGTTAATTTTAATATTGCGAGAAAATAAAAAAATTCGTTGGGTTTAGGTGCGTTCACATGGCCTCCTAAAGGTGGTTCACCCCACGCGAGTGTCCTTGAATTACAACGACAAAAATAGCACAACCGCTATGTAAATATTTTGATTTAACTTTAAACCGTTAAATTTACTTTACATTTAACCCAATTAAAGTGGTTTTAAATCAATTTGGTTTGTCGTTTTTTTCAAGACTGCTATGCCCGAACAACACCCTATCACCCCGACAACCCAAAATCAACACTACTTTTTCGAAAATCCTCGAGCCACGACGGTAGAGTTCAAAATTCTTAGTTTTTTTCCCTGTAAGAAGAAAAGAACAAAAACAAAATGTCTTGCTGCGGTGGACCTTGCTGCTCTCCTTGCTGTGCGCCATGTTGCGCGCCATGTTGTGCCCCCTGTTGTGTACCCTGCTGCTGCCCACCGCCCTGCGTTTATGTACCATGTTGTGTACCATGCTGTGCTCCATGCTGCTCCCCATGTTGCCCACCCTGCGGCAAGAAGTGCTGCTAACAGCGCCCTAAAGACACCGAGGAAAATACTACACATTTTGAAATCACATTTCGGCCTGTTTAGTATAAATTTTCTGTAATTAAAATGTAATAAATGGTATTTGCCTCTACATATATTTTATGTGCAAAACTGAATGATATGCAAACTCTTGACATGTAAAAATAAACATTCAAAAACCATAACTATTTTATTTTTATAAACGCTTCTAACGCAGCTTTAAACAAAACCTCCCCTTGAAAAAAAGATCTATTGTGAAGAACACTGGTACAGACGGGCCCATTTTTAATGATCGCCTCCCTTGGCCATGGTCCTAGTTATGGACTGCCGAAAGTACCCGAGCCCTTGGAATAAGCTGAATTTCGATAAATGCAGATCTGTCTTTACAGTTGTAAACCAACCTTGCTTTTCTCGAACGGTTCGAGTACTTTCGGCAGTCCATTGCTAGGACCGGGAGGCGGTCATTATTAATGGCCCCATCTGTACAACACATGGTACAAGAAGACTTTTTGTACCATGGTACAACATAAATGCCTACAAACTAGTGAATGTATCGGACAGTTTCTTGGAAGTTAGAAAAAGAAGTGACATATGGGTCACTCTTGAAATAGGTTTTACACATTAATAAAGTTGAAATCATGTTCTTAACATGGTAAACCCAAGCGCATCCATTTAATGTATGTTTTCCATACAGATGCCAGTTTGCTGAAAAAATGCAGAGAATGGTTCCATAAAACCTCTACGTAGACAGACATCTAGTCCAAATTAAGACTTTTTTTGGTCCAACACCGAATTATGAAAGAAAGTGACCTCTGCATCTCAAAAATAAGAAATCTGGTCTCCGCAACAACCTCTGTAAACAACTCATTTCGACAATTTCGAACGCCTTTCGGTCTTAATTCAAAATTCTCAGTGTTTTTTTCCTCAGATTCTAGAACATGTCTTGCTGCTCTTGCTGCCCCCAGTGCTGTCCGCCTTGCGCCCCAACGTCCTGCTGTGTTCCAGTGCAAGTATGTCCATGTGCACCGCCTCCACCGTGCCCTTGTGCCCCCCTTTGTGTACCTTGCTGTCCGCAGCCATGTGTGCTGGTTGCTTGTCCTCAGGCTTGTTGTCCTCCGACCTGCGTACCGTGCTGTACCCCTTGCTGTGATAGCTGTTGTTAATGGAACGAAACAGTAGATTGTGCAATATAAGTAATTTGTAACGTAAAGATTTACCCTATGAAAGTGTGTTTTATTTATATCTAGTCAAAAGGGACAAACGATTTTGTATTACGATAAGGAAGAAGGAAAAAATGTTAATTTTCAGTAGTTATTTTGTTTTTTGTTCGATAATTGTATGCACGTAAATGTATACATAAAATACATTATCTATTTCTACGCGACGAATTCAAGCTTAGTAGTACCTGTAGATAACAGTTTTTACAAGTCCTTGACGATTACATGTTCCGCTTTACAAAACACGAACATTTCGAAGTCTTCAAATGTAAATTTAACCCTTTACGGTACCACGCATCGACGGTACCACAATGGACTATCTACCAAGAATCAAACGGAGTAAGCACCCCCAAGAACGAGCGAATTTTATATCACAACTATTCTTTTTGTAAGTAGTTTTATCGCCACTAAAATAATTACCTACTTCTAATAATCTACAGATATACCGCAAGTTTATTTACGAAAGGGTACACCAGAGATCTAGACGACTCGGATTTGTATGAGGTACCCCCAACTTTCAAATCGAAGAAATTAGCCGAACAACTGGACAAACACTGGCAGAAGCAGGTAATGAAACAAAAGGAAACTTCAATCTTCTTTTCCTTGCTGAAGTTTTACGGACTTTCGTACTTTTTACTAGGACTCAGTAAAATTATTTTGAAAACATCTCTAATGTAAGTGCTTTTTAGTCTATCCTTACATAAACAAACTTCGTTTTTTAGTGTTATCCGTCCATTTGTGGTTGAAAAGTTTGCTTCATTTTTCGTACCACACCAAATCAACCCAAGTGGAACTTATTCCAGTTTATACGGATTTTCCATCATCGGTTTAGTTCTTGTAGAATGTTGGTACGACCAGTGGTACACTTTTAAATTGTCTAGTTTAGAAATCCAGGTCCGGGCTTCTTTAAGCGGACTATTTTATCGGAAGTGTTTAAGACAGTCATCGCTATCTTCAGAAAATATAGGCAAAATTATCAATCTGTTAACCAAAGATGTGTATAATTTTGAAATGTGTATCAAGACCGCTAACGAGACATGGATTAGTACGATTCAAATTATTATTATCAGCTACATCCTTACTGACAGAATCGGCTACATAGTATTGATTCTGGTACTATTTCTTTTAATATTAGTACCCATACAAGGTAAGTCAAATATTCATTCTGTTCCAAAACTTATTCAATTTTCAGTACGCTTAGCAATCAAAACCACAGTTTTAAAACTACAAATGTTGGAAAAAACGGACGACAGATTTCAAACAACCAAAGACATACTTTTGAACATTCGAACCATAAAAATGTACGCTTGGGAAAAATTTTTCCACACGAAGTTATTAAATCTGCGATCGTAAGTAGCAAACGTACTACCACCTAAAACTAAACAAACATTTTCAGAAAAGAAGTGAATCTGACTTTCGAAATCTTTTTACTCAAGTTTATAATAAACATAAATGGGATTGTATGGACTTGTGCAACTTTTTTCATATGGATGGCCATCTTCATCCATAGCAACGAAGTAACTTCCGAGATCGTTTTCTTCATGTTTGACAGCCATCGTACAATTGGTTGCCTACTCACCATCACTATCCCCTTCTCGATATCACAGATCGTTCAAACTGTGGCCACTATCACAAGAGTTGATGAGTTTTTGAAGAGAAAGGAGATATCTCGCGTTTTGAAAATGTCAAAAAGAAGCAAAATTGCACTAAAGAATGTTTCAGTTGTATATAGAAAGGAATCAGTCTTGAATGATATTAATTTAGAATTTGATGAAGGTTTGGTTTTGATAAGTGGTGCTCCTGGCAGCGGCAAAACTTTTCTGTTGAAGACTATTCTTGGCGAGTGCGACATAACAAGAGGGAATGTGGTAACAGAAGGTAGTATTTCGTATGCTTCTCAACAACCATGGCTTTTCCCAGCAACGATTCGCCAAAATATTGTTTTTGGGGAAGAGTTTGACGAAAAACGGTACAATGCGGTGCTAACCGTCTGTGATTTAGCTAACGATTTTCAGTTATTACAAAATGGTGACCAAACAATAATAGAAGATAGAATTAACTTGAGTAAAGGTCAGTGCGTTAGAATAAATTTAGCACGGGCTTTATACAAAGAGAGTGACATTTATTTACTGGATGATCCTCTAATGGCTTTGGATCCTTATTTAAAAGAATACGTTTTCAAAGCGTGTGTAAGATTTCTTGACCACAAGTTAGTAGTTCTTGTGATGCAAGATCCAACAGATTTTGTTGGTTATCAAAGTTCCGTTGTTCTCGACAACGGAAAAATAACTTCGAATTACAACTCTCAAATGAAAATAATAGCAAGAAATGTACATGACAAAAGACACATGTTTGTTGATGATGAATTAAAATTTACTGACAATGTTGATGAAGAAACTCAGTTGTTGCCTACTCTTCATTTGAAAAATATCTACAAAGAACGTAATAAAGTTGGAGAAGTCGAGTGTAAAGTTTACAAGAAGTGGATGGAAGCAGGTGGTGGTATCCTTCATTTTCTGCTGGTAGCTTTCTTTTTGGTGTTTCTTCCACTAACAACAAATTTTCTAGAAGGATCGATTAATCTATGGTGAAATGACTAAGTTCTGGTGAAAACAAAACAAACATTTTGTGTTGTAGGGCAATAAATGAAGAAAAAATAGCAAATTACACCAGAACAAGAGCTTCACGCACCCCAGACGTAACATTATTGATGAGAAAACGTACAAATTCTGTTACTTTACAAATTTTATTCATACTTCTTTTACTTGTTTTATTCGTTACCACTAGCGTCGGTTTCTTAAACTTTGCCAAACGTGTATCTCTCAAACTTCATGATCTTCTAGCACATGCTTTAATCAATGTTAATTTGCATTTTTTCAATACATCTGTAGCAGAAATCTTGAATAAGATATCGCGAGATTTTCTAAACATAGATGAAATAATTCCATTTTTGTTCTACGATTTGTCCAAGGTAAGTATTTTTTTATTACAAAGTCAATCTACTAATATTTTGTAGTTGTTGATTCCACTGATTTCACCCATGATTTTTATTGTACCGATCCAAAAAATTTTTCTCGTGCCACTAGTTCTCTTAATTTTTATTTTAACCTTTATAAGGAAGATGTATCTGACTATTGGCAGAAGCCTAAAACGACTGGAAGCATCTAGTAAGAGCCACATTTACACTCAATCAAATGAAAATTGTATTTCATCAATACAGGTAAAACTCCAATGGTAGGCCACTTTAGTGCTATGCTCAGTGGGTTAACTACAGTGAAATCCCAAAAATGCGAACAAAAAGTACTCGAAGAATTTGATAATCATCTAGATCTACAGATCTCTGCTTCTTTTACATATATGTCTGCTACTAGAGCATTTTCTCTAGCAGTTGGCTGGACTTCTACAATTTTTCTAGGGATTGTTATAAGTAGATTTTTTGTCGTTAGATCAGGTACGATATTTAGTTATTCATACACATATACAACAAAATTTTGCAGACCCATTAAGTGTTACATTTACAATCTTCCAAACTCTACTCTTAATCGAAATATCAAATGCAGTTTTCCTCACTTGGGCTGAAATCGAAACTCATATGACGTCAGTAGAACGCGTTTTGGAGTTAACCCAAGTCCGACAAGAATGTCCAGCAAATTGTATGACTGAAATATGGTCGAAACCAGGCTACATCAAGTTCCACAATGTTTGTTTATACGAAACGATCTCAAACAACGTAAGTTTTGTTATCCACCCTAAAGAAAAAATTGGAGTTGTTGGAAGAAGTGGCTCCGGAAAGTCGGCACTAATTTCCACTTTATTTAAATTAGAAAATTTTGATGGTCAAGTTTTTGTAAACGGCGTCGATTTAAAAACTTTGCCTCCAGAATATCTACGGTCGAAAATTTCGTCGATTCCTCAAGATGTAACCATTTTTGAAGGCACAATAAAAGAAAACTTGGACCCTTTTAATAAATACCCAGACAGTGAAATTTGGGACGTTCTACAACTTGTTAATCTGAAGAAATTCGTGTGGGATTTGAATGTTAATGTTAATGACACTTACATCGTTGGAAGAGTTCGACAGATCTTGCTCTGTTTAGCCAAAGTTATTTTAGAGAAAAATGAGATTGTGGTTTTTGATGAATTTCTTGTTAATATTGGAGACAGTTTAAGAAATTTAGTTTGTAATTTGATTCAAACGGTATTTGTAAATTCGACAATGATAATAGTGACTCATGATTTGCACATTCTTTCTTGTTGTAATAAAGTAATGGTTTTGGATGAGGGTAGAATAGTCGATTTTCGTACTTTTTCGCGACTGAGTAGAGATGAGGAAGGGATATTTTTCCAAATGTTGAGCAAAAAATCAAAAGAAATACTACACAAAAGTTAATGTTGTTCATAATAATTGTCACACTGTAATTTGTTTATATTTTTATTGCCAGTCACTGTAAAGAAATTAATTTTAAGTGTTATAAGTACACGTAGATATATATCGTTTATCTGCAGCAGGTACATGTTTTATCGAGCATTTTATCTTTCTTTTTTTAATAATTTTCTAAAAACGATAACGACACGCGCCGCTGTGTTGTTGATATATTTTGTCCACGCCACTGGAATAACTGTCACTGGCGCAACAATTCTGTGATTAAAACCCATAATTTAACTTTAAATTTTTGCAACATTTGAGTTTATTTGTTAAACATATAAATCGTATCCAAATGTGTTGTATAAATAAATAAAATAAACATATTTTAAACGGAAACCGACGATTCTAACTAATGCAAACGTCTTATCACTTCGAAATCCCACTAGTCCTAAGTCTCATATTCGTTATTTGTTTAAGTTGTTGACTTTTAACCTCGGTCTTACGATAACACCAACGTAAATTGTTTTTTCTTCTACATTACTTGCAAATATAGAAAATGGTTCTCTCAAAGCCCATATTCAATGCTCTGGGGTTTTATTTTGAACAACTGTTCAATCACCCAATTAGAACGAAAGCAATCACCTGGTAAGTTATTAATCAAGTATTTAAGTAAAATAGTTAAACGTTTGCTATTTTAGCTGTGTAATTGCGACTGCTGGTAATTTCACGTCGCAATGTATAGCCGGGAATAAAGTCCTGAACCATAACAGTCTCCTAGCGTATGGGGTTTTTGGGTAAAATATTATTTATTATTAAATTGACCATTTATTAATTTTCATTTAATTAGATTGTTGTTTGGGGGTACTATCCCCCACTATTTCTACACATGGCTGGAGAACGTTGTACCTGAAGAAGCGGCTTTCCCTGTTCTCAAAAAACTCTTTTTTGAAAGGTTAATTTATTCACCTTTGTACCAGGCATTTACTTTATATGTTCTGGCAAGATTGGAGGGCAAAAGTCACAATGCTGCAGTCAAACAGTTACAAAGTCTATATTGGCTGGTTCTTTCATCCAGTTGGAAATATTTAACTATTATACATTTACTAAATCTGAGTGTTGTACCGCCTATGGTAAGTGTTAGTTTGCGTATAACTGGTTGCCTATACAACAACCTTCACTAAACTCAAATAACAATTTAAATCTCCACACACACAAAACAAATCCTTTAATCTTTCAGTTGAGGGTCGTCATTGTCAATCTCGTTGGATTTTTCTGGACCGTGTACATCGCAAATAAACGACGCCAACAACAGGCCAAAAGAGATAACAAATAATTCCACACAATAAATTACACGCATTTACTACGGGTGGGGTGTTTTTACTATAAATAAGTTTGTTTGGTTACAATAAAAATATTGGTTGGTACACTTTATGTCAGTTACCCAACTCTTCCGAAATTCCCGATCAAAAATATTTACAATTCACCTGCAATCGCGCTCCCTTTGAACTCGACAAGTGTTTATTTCCGGGAGTCCACTCGCCGGAATATAAAATAAACAAGTTTTTAAAGTGCTACAAACACACACCGTGTGTTTAGGTGTAAAAGTCGCTAAGCACATGGCTGTGTGTAGAAAATTAGGGAGTCCCTGGTTCCCCTCCAGAGTGGCACGCATCGATGGTTCTTGTAGCGGCCCAGACCAAAAGCTCGTTAGTCTCGCGCGAGCCGATGTTGTAGTGTCAATAGAACTCGCACTTACCATCGTTCCGTAATCTTATTTTGTGTTTTGGTGATAACTTCGTAGTGTTTTTTTTTTTTTTTAATTTGTGGAGATAGCAACTGATTTGAGGTAATTTAATTAATACAAATTAATCAAATGAAGACAGGTTTGAATTTTAATCACTTCGTAGGGTAAAGTAGGGTGCATTAGTAATAAATCGTGATGAATTTAAATCACTTGTCACTTTGTAGGGGAAGGTGGAGTGACCTTTCAGCCAAAAAACATCGGGGTCAAAAAACTCAAAAATCTCGTTTAGTACACTTTTCTTAATTTAACAACCCGCTACGTAAATTATGTACATACTAATTCTTGCAGCGATTATCTTTCGCTCCTGAGAATCCACAACAATACCTACTTCGTGAAAAAAAATCCTGCTTGAGTGAAAACTCTAAGTACTGTTATTTCCACTTCACGTGACTTAAAATACCGTCCATTTTCAATTATACCCCACTCGAATCACGTGGGTTTATTACTATTTTCATTAATAACCACTACTCTTAGGCGTAATCGCAAGTGTGTGTCGTGGGCGTAATATTTTGTAACAGCACATAATTGAACGTGTTTCTTTAATAATTCATTAGAGAGATTGATTGATAAGTCCATTCATTGACTTGATATTCTAGAGTGATAATAATCCTACAGCTTACTTAATTTCTCAATTCACCTTCACCAACAATAGATTATCGCCGGATATTATTATGTGTAAACAATACTTTGGTTTCCCGTACGAAGTGGACAAACATAAAGGGAATGTTGGTTTGTGGATAAGACAATCGAATGAAGAGAAGCGGAAACCACAATGAAAGCTGTCATAATCACTCACAGGGGGTGAAGGCTACCGTGCTTTATAGCGAGATGACTTGGGTTTTCGAGGCTTTGTGAAGTGGTTTAGGAGATGTTGCGCACTTGTCAATCAAGGAAAAACCGAACGAATTGATTTGTTCCACCGAGTCTGAAGATGGTTACACAATCGGGATTTATGCGACATTTTGGGAAAGTTAATCCGCGATTTATTAATATTACAGTTTTAATTATAAATCCCGCAGTGACATTTTAGCACGCTAATCTCCAAAATAACAAAAAGTGGATTAACGAACCTTAAAATCTTATTTATGATGTCTCTTTAATACCAATGTTTTTCTCTGAATAATTTTCCCATTTGGGTGGTTGTTTGCTTTGACATTGTGTTGTTTTGATTTTCGAGAATACGCAACAATGGAAATGATTGATCGGATCGAAGAATTTGAATTTATTTGAATAATTTAACAATTTTCACCCAAGGTTTCGTGTACAAGTCCGTGTAGAGTTGCCTATATTTTAAATAAGGGTAATGTTGTTGGAATTGGTTTTTTATTTAAATATGCCACGTTCCTGGGAAGGAATTTATTTTAATAAAGTGACTATAAGAAAACAACCATTTATCAAATTTATATGTTTATATTTATGTCTAATACTGGTCGAAAGGTTAAATTTTATGTTATAATATCGCGACCGAAGGTAAACGTCGAGAATGTGGCAACCGGAAAATTTCTTTGCTTTATTTAAATAAAATAATGCGTGTTATTGCCTACCATGAAATTATATATTTTATAGTTGCTGCTGCAATGGTTTGTTTAACTGCAAATATTTCTAAGCTATATGTAGTAAGGTAATAACATGTGTGAAATGAAATATCTTTAGAGATTTTTAAACTGTGTTTTCCTGTGTTTCTCAAAACAATTTCCAATATTATTTGTATAGTATTCGAATTATATCATATGCAACAAATTTTCTCTAAACAATAATATTGAAAATAATAAAGCAGTAATTAGTAATAATTATTAGTAATTATTAATTTTTCAGTTTATATTGGTTTTGCTTTCGCTCGGTTCGTTATTAAACAAATTAGAGACAAAAAGTGGGCACGTGCAAAGCGGAAAGAGAAATTAACGTCTATAATAACTGTAACAATATTATTGTTCGACTCAAGTTAATTAAATTCAACAGTCAAAAAAATTTGGTTGTGAAACAAATTTAAAAAGTAATTGAAAATAAACAAAAACGAAAAGAAAACACTACATATTTTTAATAGTGATAAATTACACTCACAATATTATTTTTGTATCCAATAAAATCTTATGACGTGATTATGAGGGGTTGGACGGCACAGCAGCAGAATTAGTGACGACCATAAAATGACTATACCGGTTTTCTCGACGTTTCGTGACCCCTAAGATACGAAAAATAGTTCTCCCGTTTCTGTCCGTCTGTCTGTCTGTCTGCCGTCTGTCTGGATATTTATCGAAACTACTGGACCGATTGTTGTAAAATTTTGTATGTGTATTAAAATTTACATTAGTTAATATTTTTTAAATTTTATAAAATAAAATACTCCCACATATGTGGTTTATTAATCCGTGTCGTAATTTTTTCGTTAATGTTCCTTTAAAAATAATTTTAATTTACATTATCTACTGTGTTTTTTCTTAACCAGTACTGGATATGAACAGACACAAAATAAATAACTAAACATGAACACTGATCAACTGAAAAGTTATCAATACAATCTTACTTTCCTAGACAATAGAACTGTGCAATAGGTGCTTTATTACAAGGTTGGTTGGGTGCAGAAGACAATCGGACAAATACTTCATCCACTTTTATACGATAACCTCGAGGTGTCAAACCGACGTTTGCTGATAGTAACTGACAGTTATTGACAGAATTAGGTGCACATAATTTGGACACTGAGAATACATAAATGATTGAATATCACTCCACAGAAAAAGAAACAAAATCTCGAATATTGGAATTCTCCAAAAATAACTTCAAACTATAAGTCAGAGTGAAGAATAGAAACTGTGCTGGGAAATGGAAAGATTTAATTGCAAAAAATTCAGTAAAATAGCAATTAGCATTTAAAGGAGTTACGCTTAGATTTCTCAACGACATCTGCTGTCACAATTCTGATATTTGATATCTACTATTACAAAAGCTATATTGTAAAATCATTGTCATAACATAACCGTTACTAGGCTATTAGGTAAGTGTGTGTCTACAATAGTGGGATCAAATTTCTTCTTCAAAATACCACAAGACCATTCTTCGTCGTACTAAAAATTGATATCTGATCGCACCCTTCCTTCACATCTTTACATTATTAGGTATAGGTGTCACAGTTCCGTAACCCGTCCAAGAAAGTTCAAAGTAAACACCGCAACCACCAGGTGTATGTACAAACACGAACAATTAACCCGTAGTTAATTTTTACGGTACTTTTATGAAGAAATCCCCAAAACAACAAAGCTACTATCTTTACGCAATTTGCTTAACCACGTGAATGTCATTGTCATTTCACAACTTAATCTCCACATAGTAAACAAACAGGCGTTGTCCTAACCATCAATGCCCATAAACGCACCCAGTGGTCAAAAATCGGGTTAAATTACCATAAACTTATACCTTTCACTGATGCTATCCATGCATGGGTGTGAAAAAATTCTGGGAAAAGCCTTGTCCTCGGGTTTCGGTATTGTTCCAGCGTACGAACTCGCAAAAATTTGAAATTGTAATGAAATTATGCAGATGTATTCAGAGAAAACGTTCATAATTAATATCAGAGACGGGTGGATGGGAGTGTTTCCCCGAAGAGGCGCCACGGAAATCGAATCGATAGATTGAAGGTGTAAACTGTAAACAAAACAAAGTCGGGGCTTTAACCGCATTAGCGTGTGAACTTGGCTTAGTGCAAAGTTCAGAGCGTGCAGATCAAGATGGTCGCAGATCGTATCGGCACTGATTGCACATTGTGGAGAAGGAAGAGTTGTGGGCGATGGGTTCATCAGTCACTGCGAGGGGACGTGAGTGAGTTAAAGGGACTGCATGGGACGGATGCGTATAGGTGGTCAGACACAACCAGAACAGTCCAGAACTTGCCCATTAATGGAGAAATTAACATGTTGTGGAAACCAAGCTTACCAATTATGAACCACGACGAGATTAAATACATTTTAGTCCTATTCTGTAATTAATAATAGGTCAAGTCTGATGTTTTGCCAGGATGTCAAAAAAAAGTCATTAAAAGTATCTACTTTTTATTAAATTTTCCATAAAATTGTTTAAGAATATAAGATAATATAATATTTCATATTTTTTATAACTACTACGACTACTTCTTGTTAATGAAATCGTTATGGAAAGAAATTGAATCATTTTTCAAAGGACATCGTTACGTATTTTATAGCGTAATCACTTAATTAGTGTTCGTATATTTTACTAAAACTGTTAAGGAAGCACGATATATACAGAGTGAGTTACTAAGCGCGCATCCCTCTATATCTTATTAATTATTGAAAATTAAAAAAAGTCAGAGACTAAGGTTCTTTAAGTAGGTTTTTTTATATCTATGACACATTGTTCAGGACTCTTTATGGAGGAGAGAAAAAATAATTCAAAAAATTCTTTTGTCCAGATGTGGAAGATACAACCCTTCAAAGTCCATTTTTGTTTCTAAAATTTCACTATATTTTGTGTTGTGTACCTGAAATCGATGGGAGAAGTTATATAGTGGGGCTCCTAGCTCAGTTTCACCTCATTTGACAATTGGCTGTCTACAATAAATAGTATAACATTAAAATGTGTTTCATTTAAACGCAAAAAACTGTCAGGTGTGGTATTCCAACCCACGCTCCCTTTCGAGAATCAGAGCTTAAATTTAACGCCTTAGACCGCTCGACCAACCTGATTAAATTTAATTGTTTTGTTCATAAATCTGTACTTTCCTACTAAGGGGATAGTCGAGATAGAACTCGAGTCTGCGCAAAACAGCACAAGGCGACGACAAACCTTCGATAAAAAGTAGTGGGGCTCGTGGCTCAGATCAAATGAGGTCAAAGTGAGCTAGCAGCTCTACTATATAACTACTGATGGGACTTTCATTATTCAAAATAATTTTGGAGGTATTTTTATCCATCGTTTTCGTTATTTTATAATAAACTTAAAAGTTGTTTAGGATCAATCTGACAACAGTGGATAACTTTTCACATTTTTTGATTTATCTATCTAAATCTTTTCTCGAACTTAGTGAACTA